AGGGGGGGGGGTAAAAAGGTTCATTGTGCCTAAGGTGGCTAAGGTGACTACTACTTTTGGACTTAACACTTTTCACTACTTATCTATTTCCACCTGGAACTCTCTGCCAGATGAAACGAGAAGCGCTCCTGATCTTAATACTTTCAAACGATGTATAAAGCAGTTAACTTTTAAAAAATGGTGGTATATATAGGTGTGTGTAATTGAATGTCTATATGAAATGTATTTTAATTGTACTATTTATATTTTTATTTCATTTTATATATTATTTCTCTCTCGGAGATAATGGCAGAAATGTTACTCGAAAATCCGAATTGAAATAAAGATATGATTGATTGATTGACGTGTAAGCTAATGGTACGAAAAATGAGAAAATTGAAAGCTTACCTCCGTCCGAGCTTGACCACCTTTTGTCCAAATTTTTTTTAGAGCGCTGCCATGCAGGAAAAACGGAGAAGAGTGCGAGCCAACAACAGTTTTCAGTTTTGAGCACCTCTCTCAGCGATACTTAAGTGAGAAGAAATATCCGCATTTAACATACTCAAGCACAATAAGTTCGAAGAATCCAGAAAAGTCTTTGCAGCAAAGCTAAGTCACGTTCTGACGATCACAGCAAAGGAACTAGACTATCCGCAAGCTCAAGCCGTCGCGCCCTTTTTGAGGAGAATTCCGCGACTCCAATCCAGTTGTGTTTCAAAGAAGCTTACTTCGGTTTCCGAGCAAGAGACAACATTAGTCAAGCGGTCCGTTACTTATTCCACCGCTCCAGCTTTTACAGGTGCAATCATAGGATCCATCAGCGGGTGCACAATATTCCACGGTATTGTGAATTGTCGAGAATGAAAGGAAGCGTCGAATTGTTATCGAGAGCGATGAGGACGATTGACATGATTGATTACTGACTTTGCCAACCTTGTCCAGTATTGAATTAATTTTCCCAGCTTCAAACTTTCACTTGATTGATCCATATTTTGATTTCGCTGTGGCTATATGGCCGGTAACCGGTCAAGGTTTTCAAAATACTAAATGGCCAGCAGTCCTGTCTTTTCAGTAAATTTCACAAATCGAAAAACCAAACTATCATATGTCGATTAAGAAAAGTCAAGCGATCCTGAAATGCTTTATAGATCTCAAGAATAGCGTTTAGACAAAACCATGGTTACTTTTTTCAGCTCGACTGCCGGTCAAGGTTTTCAAAACATTACATGACCGGCAGTCCTATATTCTCAGTAAACTTCACAAAATCGAAAAATACCAGCTAATCTAAATTATCATGTCGGTTACGAAAAATCAAGCGATCCTGAAATGCTAGATCTCAAGTATAGCGATTGATTTACGCTGGGCTCAGAAGACGAAACCATGTTTTATGACAGTTACTGGAACTTTTTTCAGCTCGACTGCTGGTTAAGGTTTTCAAAACACTAAATGACCCTCAGTCCTATATTCTCCGTAAATTTCACAAATCGAAATAATCCAGCTAAACCAAACTATCATATGTCGATTAAGAAAAGTCAAGCGAAATGTACTGAATAATAGGACTGCCGGTCATTTAGTGTTTTGAAAACTTTGACCGGCATTCGAGCTGAAAAAAATTCTAAGTGTCACAAAACATGGTTTCGCCCTCTGAGCCCAGCGTAAACCAAACGCTATACCTGAGATCTATAAAGCATTTGAGGATCGCTTGACTTTTCTTTTCTTTTTTGTGACGTCATCTTTTTCAGCGCTATTGCAATCAAAAGATTACGTAATTAACAGTTTTGTATTTGAAAAGAGTTTAAACTGTGGGAATGAAATAACGAATATCGTAATATTTAAAAGAATTAAAGCGCAGGTCCTGGCTAACAAACCAACCCATTTTTGAACCGGTTTTTTGTTTCCTAAAAATGTCTACAAAAATCTATTGAAAGCTAGACCTTTACTAAAATGTAAACAACACATCTTTCTGGGCTGGTATATTATCGGAACCTCCGAGAAAAAGGCCCCTAGGATCGAAAAATCTCAGAAAATATATCCGAAATTGTACACATTTACAGGAAAAAAAAAAACATCAGCTCCTAAAAATTCTCGGTTAATTACCGAGTTTCTTTAAAACTTCGCTTCAGCCACATTTTTCACTGCAAGAACCGAGCAATTAATCGACGTCACGCGCGTAAAAGGAAGTAATATAACTAGATCGACCAATACATTTGCAAATAGTCCCTTTCAAAAGCACAGAGTGCATGAGGCAAAAAGAAAATGACTGCTTATCATACAAACGGAACGGTTGACTGAAAGGAAAGATGAAAAGGGGGAGGGAAG